TTACATAGTGCGTACTTAAACAGTAGAATTTGTTCTCAAAAGTGCAGTGACGGTCACCAGCTTTGGTTGCTTTTTAGAGAATTAGACAAATTCCTAGCATGTGAGGATATTAACATCTACTAGCCACAATAGAAGAAGAAGAAGAAGAAGAAGAAGAAGAAGAAGAAGAAGAAGAAGAAGAAGAAGAAGAAGAAGAAAGAAGAAGAAGAAGAAGAAGAAGAAGAAGAAGAAGAAGAAGAGTTTTGACTTGTAAGCCACCTTTCACTCCCCTTAAGGAGTCTCAAAGTGGCTAACCATCTCCTTTCCCTTCCTCCCCAACAACAAACACTCTGTGAAGTGAGTGAGGCTGAGAGACTTCAGAGAAGTGTGATTAGCCCAAGGTCACCCAGCAGCTGCATGTGGAGGAACGGGGAAATGAACCCGGTTCACCAGATTACGAGTCCACTGCTCTTAACCACTACACCACACTGGCTCTGTATGATGTCCAGTGTTGGAGCCAGTATGTCTCTGAACAGGGCCAGCCCAACTATGGGGCAAGGTGACACAACCACCTCAGGTAAGGTTGATTAAATTTCCCCACCTTGTTTGTGATGTAGATCCTCACCCCCCCCCATTTCTTTCCAGTGGTGTCATGGACAGAGCAGAGGAGGAAGAATGGTGGAGACCTCCGCTGCAGGCGTTGAGTAGAGAGAAGGAATGGGCAGGTAGCATAGACCTCCAGGAGTGGTTTGGCACAGAGCATACATGTAAGGGAGATGACGGCAAAAGGGGAGAGCAGGAAGAGGAGAACGTGGACAGGATTCAGCAGAAGGAGGCTGAGCAGCAGTTGAATGAGATCCTGTCGCTGGAGAGTATCCCAGAACCCGTACCCTCCCCCCCAAACCAGGCATTGGCTGAGTATAGCTGAACAGAGAGCTCAGAGGCAACTGTCTCATACCAGTCACAGTCAGATGCAGCAGGAGAAGTTAGATGAACAGGATATTAATGGAGAAGGGGGGGTGGAACTTCACTCAGGGCAACATTAGGTGCATCTTGAATTCTTCTCTGCAGATTGTATTATAAGCAGAACTGAAAAAACTTGCTGTTTATCTCGCAGCCTTCCTGGGAATCGGCCGCAGCTGCCGACAGCACCCTGACAATTGCAGAGCTTCATTCCCTGCTTGTCCCTGATGTAGATCTTCACCAATCCCTTCTTCCATGGTGAGAGGGGGGAATTTGTATATTCTGCGTTAAAATACAGAGATGGTCTCAAAATATATGAAAAGGTTTCCCCCCAAAAATGGTTTGTGGATAAACCAAAGATTACCCTGTGTTACAAATTTTATCAACAAACTGTTAAACAAAAAACTTTAATGAAAAAATTGCACCCTCAAATATGTTACATAACATCCACCTCATTATACCCATCATACCCTTTTGAAACTTTCTGCATTGTTCACTTCTGTGATCTAGAATGGTTTTAGTTCCTCTGTTCATTATGATGGAGAGATTCTTGAACTCTTTCTTCTAACCTTGTTGCTTAGCACAAACCTGTAATACACACCCATGCCAACAGCAGCAGTCACCGTGGAAAGGACCAACACACTTCCTACAATACTACCTCCAATCACACCATTCCAGTTTTTTGAAATTGGCCCACTGTCAATGCTGCCCCCATATCCTTTCTTTAGACAGTCAGGAGGGGCCCAACCATAAGAACAATGGCAGTGTTTGTAGTTATTGCATATTCCCCTATTATGGCACTTTGTGGCATTGCAATCATACTGCAAGAGGGACACGTTCTTGCATTCCCTACTAATACACATCATGCCAGTGCCACAAGGTGTACCGTCTTCCACTGCTCCAATATCAGCTACCTCCATTCCACTGTGGTAGTCTGTAGCCCAGCAGTTACTTTTGCCAATGGTGGTTTGAATGATGGTTTGGTGTTCCTCCAAGGTAGGTAGCCCATAAATATTACTACACTGCATTCGGCCACATAGAATATTTTCAGCATTGCATTTCTTTAAAATACCATGTTCAAGGCCACAATTGCCAAAGCGATCACCTTGAACATTCAGTCCTCTGAAACAATCCTCTGAAGCTCGTATGGTTTTTTTGCCAAATATCTTTTCACACTGCCCATTCGGAGTACTACAACGACCATGATAGCAATAGACTCCATCACCGCAAGGGGCACCATCTTGTACATAAACATTTTCTGGACATTGGTCCGAAGTCCCAGTGCAAAACTCAGGCAGGTCACAGATGCCAATACTCTTTCTGCAAATGGATCCAGCGGGACGGTACTTGCACCTGTCACAGCACAGTCCAGAAGAACAATTGGCACATGGACGCAACGTGCAATCTGGCCTGCAACACTGATGCGATTGACACTGTGCAGCTGAACCACAGTCACATTGCTCTCCTTTTTCCACTACTTTGTTCCCACAGTATTCGAGGTTATAGATTTGATCAGGGTCTGGTGGAATCAACAAGCAAGGTGAGTCCTTTCGATTGAAATACCTATGGTAACTGCAGTTGCTAAACTTATCAGTCCGTGAGTGCCAAGCAGCCATAATGCAGGCATGTCGATCACATTTACAGTCCGAACTATCATGGGGGATACCAAGATTATGCCCAAATTCATGGGCAAATAGCACAGAAAAATCAAACAAATTGAAATATATTGATACTTCAAGAGCAGTGGCCCAATATTTACTACAAATTTGTCCTACATATGCTAGTCCGATAGTACTTCCATACGACCTGTATACAATTAAGTGAGCAGCATCATTCTTTAGATGGTTAAGTAGAGTGTTACGGCTCCAAATACTAAAAGCTTTAAGTGTGGCACCTATTCCACCATCAACATCTATGAGGTTCTTTTCTGACCATATCTCCAGTCCTGCTATAGACACTTCAACTAAAAATGGCTCAAAAAATGAATTTACCATATGGATCGTCTCAAGAAGTTTCATAGCAATATCAGTTTCATTTTTATTAAACTTAACATATCGTTCATGCTCCACCACAAATGCCACTTCTGCATGTCTCTTGTGCGGCCACCAGAGTTCTGCTGGAGGACTTCTGACAGCCACATGCTTTCTGTCTTGGATCATGGCCTCTTGACGCCTTTGCTCTTCCTCCGTCAACCCACACCTCATGTGCATGGCACCCTCCTCTATTTCCAGCTGATACACCACATGCTGAAAGGTAGCAGATGGCTGGACAGGTTCAATTTGATATGTCTCATTGTTAAGTTGTAACAGGCCCCTGAGTCCCCCAGAGCAAGTGCTGAGAGTGACTGAAGAGAGAGGCTTGTCCTGTATGAATCCACTGTAGAAACAATCATCCCTGATGTAATGATAGTCACCCAGCAGGTCCCCTTCCTTATTGTACATGAAGATGGGGAAGTGTTTAGGAACAATGACCTTCTTCTGCTTGAGATGCACTACCTGGCCCTTCCCCTCAACCTGCAGCAGGTAGCTGACATCCAGGGTTTCCTGTAGTCCATACCTGAAGCTCAATTTCCTTGGGATGGTCACCTCATAAGAGGCATACCTAAAGCCCTGAGGTGGTGTCTGGCCACTGGTCTCAATCAGGACATTCCTCAAGAACATAATGAGCAGCCATGCCAGGCTGCCACTCATTTTACAAGAAAGAGGGAAATATCTCTTGAAGCACCACCTCTGGCATCTCATCCCTGAGAGGGAAGCCCCAAACAGTTGTTACCAGGTTAGTAGATAGATGGGAAGGAGGCTATATGTGAATTAGAAGAGGAGGAAGATATGTTGCCTAGCAACTGCCAGTGTGCTCCATCTGTGGAATGTGGGCGGAGCTTGGAGGATCAAAGATGGAACAGAATGGCAGAGGAAGAGCAGGAAAGAAAACATTCCTAAGAAGTTTCTGCCTGGGAGGGTTGCAGGAAGAAGAGCAAAAAAAAGAGAGAGAGAGTCTTATAGCACCCCATGGACTAACAAGTTCTATTTCAGCATCAGTCAGTGGGCATGAAGCCACTTCATACATTGGATGGGTTATAATCCTCAGTTGTCAGGTATGGAATATAAAAAGTACTTTTTGTGACAATTCAACTAGTGTTTAAATGTATGATTAAATTAAATGTTAAATGCAAAACATAAAAATAACTGGTGATAGAACAATCGTCTTTCACATTGCTGAGTTCCTTTTCAGCTCTGAGGCAGAACCTCCTCTTCACTTGGCCAGTTGAAGAAGCCCAGGTGAGCAAAGTGCTTCTTCCGGCCACAGTTTTCATTTGTCTACTTCCTTCAGAGAAGGGAAGCCAGCAGGGAGTGGTGGCCACCAGCTCAGTCAAAACCACCCAAAAGAGTGAATGGCCCCTCTAATCCCTCCCAATCCCCTCAGCAGCTTCCTTTTCTGCACACCAAACTGCAGCCTCCCTCAATGGGAGATTCCATGCCCCCCTTTTGACTGGGGATACAACAAGAGATTCATTCTGGATCTTCTGTATACAATATATGGTGTACACCACTGAACCATGGATCTTCCCATCCTTAAATAGGTAAGGGAAGTTAAAACCCTTAGGGTAATGTGAAATATTGTAGAAAGGGGATCTAGCATTATCGGAGAACATGTTACCTTCTAGTTTTATCCAAAAGTGTTTTGGCTTCCCTATAGTTTCTTTTGAGGAATACCCCAATTTATTTCGAAATCAATTTTTCAAAATACCAGTACTGCTTCCATGCATTTCTTTAGCATGGTATACTCCTGTATGATAACATTCCATTCCACTGGACAGATTTCACCCATTTACATAGGATAGGACTTCTGTCCTGAACAACAAAGAGACTCTCAACATACTGTGAAAGTATAGGCAAAGATTTTCATGTGTGAATATTTCCGCTTGAGATGAACTGAACCAATGCTTACAGAGTCAAAAATATGTTATATAATATTGCTCATTATACCCACCATACCCTTTTGAAACTTTCTGCATTGTTCACTTCTGTGATCTAGAGTGGTTTTAGTTCCTCTGTTCATTATGATGGAGAGATTCTTGAACTCTTTCTTCTAATCTTGTTGCTTAGCACAAACCTGTAATACACACCCATGCCAACAGCAGCAGTCACCGTGGAAAGGACCAACACGCTTCCTACAATGCTACCTACACTGACACCATTCCAGTTTTTTGAAATTGGCCCACTGTCAATGCTGCCCCCATATCCTTCCTTTAGACAGTCAGGAGGGGCCCAACCATAAGAACAATGGCAGTGTTTGTGGTTGTTGCATATTCCCCTATTATGGCACTTTGTGGCATTGCAATCATACTGCAAGAGGGACACGTTCTTGCATTCCCTACTAATACACATCATGCCAGTGCCACAAGGTGTACAGTCTGATTCATCATGGCTCATACCAAGATTATGTCCAAATTCATGGGCAAATAGCACAGAAAAATCAAACAAATTGAAATTCTTTGATGCTACAACACCAGTAGCGAAATGCTCACTACAAATTTGTCCTACATATGCTATTCCAATAATACCTCTATACGACCTGTATACAATTAAGTGAGCAGCATCATTCTTTAGATGGTTAAGTAGAGTGTTACGTCTCCATATACTGAAAGCTTTAAGTGTGGCTCCCATACTTTTATCAACATCTATGAGGTTCTTTTCCGTCCATATCTCCAGTCCTGCTACAGACACGTCAAGAAAAAGTGGCTCAAAAAATGAATTTATAACATGGATGGCCTCAAGAAGTTTCATAGCAATATCAGTTTCATTTTTATTAAACTTAACATATCGTTCATGCTCCACCACAAATGCCACTTCTGCATGTCTCTTGTGTGGCCACCAGAGTCCTGCTGGAGCACTTTTGACAGCCACATGCTCTGCGTCCTGGATCATGGCCTCTTGACGCCTTTGCTCTTCCTCCGTCAACCCACACCTCATGTGCATGGCACCCTCCTCTATTTCCAGCCGATACACCACATGCTGAAAGGTAGCAGATGGCTGGACAGGTTCAATTTGATATGTCTCATTGTTAAGTTGTAACAGGCCCCTGAGTCCCCCTGAGCAAGTGCTGAGAGTGACTGAAGAGAGAGGCTTGTCCTGTATGAATCCACTGTAGAAACAATCATCCCTGATGTAATAATGATAGTCACTCAGGAGGTCCCCTTCCTTATTGTACGTGAAGATGGGGAAGTCTCTAGGGATGGTGCCCCTCTTCCGCCTGAGGCGCACCACCTGGCCCTTCCCCTCAATCTGTAGCAGGTAGCTGACATCCTGGGTTTCCTGCTGTCCATACTTGAAGATCAGTTTCCTTGGAATGGTCACCTCATAAGAGGCATACCTAAAGCCCTGAGGTGGTGTCTGGCCACCAATCACACTCAGGAGATTCCTCAAGAACATAATGAGCAGCCATGCCAGGCTGCCACTCATTTTCCAAGAAAGAGGAAAGAAGCTCTTGAAGCACCACCTCTGGATCTCATCCCTGAGAGGGAAGCCCCAAACAGCTGTTACCAGGTTAGTAGATAGATGGGAAGGAGGCTATATGTGAATTAGAAGAGGAGGAAGATATGTTGCCTAGCAACTGCCAGTGTGCTCCATCTGTGGAATGTGGGCGGAGCTTGGAGGATCAAAGATGGAACAGAATGGTAGAGGAATAGAAGGTTCCTAAGAAGTTTCTGCCTGAGAGGGTTGCAGGAAGAAGAGAAAAAAGAGTCTTGTGGACTAATAAATGTTTACATGAGGCCACTTCATATAGTGGATGGGTTATGATCCTTAGTTTTCAAGTATGGAATATGAAAAGTACTTTCTGTGACAATTCAATTAGAGTTTAAATGTATGCAAAACCTAGAAATAACTGGTGATAGCACAATCATCTTTGCATTGCTGAGTTCCTTATCAGCTCTGAGGCAACACCTCCTCTTCACTTGGCCAGTTGAAGAAGCCCAGGTGAGCAAAGTGCTTCTTCCCGCCACAGTTTTCACTTGTCCACCTCCTTCAGAGAAGGGAAGCCAGCAGGGAGTGCTGGCCAGCAGCTCAGTCAAAACCACCCGGATGAGTGAATGACCCCTGTAATCCCTCCCAATCCCCTCAGCATCTTCCTTTTTTGCACACCAAGCTGCAGCCTCCCTCAACGGGAGCTTCCATGAGTTCCTGCTCCAGGCCTTGAGTTCCAAATCTCCCACAGTTTCTTTCCCAAATGAAGCACCTCAGTGGCACACAATGGGCACCCAGGTCTCTTCACTTTCCAGCGCCATAGTTGTTCTGTCAGGTACTGGACTTCCCCTGCTCTTCCCACCCCCACACAAATTCACCACCATCACCTCAGTTCTCTCCCAATTTCCAGTTTGACTTGGTTCATTCTGGCAGCTGCTGCAGGACACAAAACTCCCCCCAACCTTCTCCCTCCATTTCAAGAAAGTGGAGTGCCTTACCTGGTAGGTGGGTGGTGGGGCTGTGTGCACCTCTGACTCACAGTCTCACCACACTGCTTGCCGGCCAAGGGGTGTTGCTGGGTGGCCTATACCACCCCAGAAAAACCCCTTCCATCCAGGAGCCAGTCCAGGGTGACGCAGCAGAAGCACAATTATTGCACACACACCCCAAGCCTGTGTCTCCAGTGGGGGCCACCTTGGTCAACCCCTAGGTACACCCCTTCTTCGTGCATACAGCCCATAGCACCTAAGTTCCTTGAATTCCCCCATCAAAAGCAACCTGCTACTTCTCTCAAAGACAGGCAGTGCTTTTCAACCTTCCATTCAACTCAGAACATTTGCAAACATTCCATGACAGTACAAGAGCTTAGCCAATAGAATGGCAATTCCAGGGTACCAGACTTTCCTCTTTATTAGACCAGCAGACAAGATAGCAATTCTTCATTTACTGCAAAATGCAATTTACCTATATACAGAGTAAACAGAAACCACACATCCTTCTTTATTCGACCTCTGCCTACTCTTCAGACTACATTAGAATATGGCATTCTCCACCCTGTCTAGCTGTTACCATTTTATTTCTGTCAACTATTTAAACTTTTTTTGCCCTAAAGAGGTGAAGTGATTTATAATGTTATTCCAGTGGTTCAACATCCTCTTAACTAGAGATGCGCTCTCTTAAATGCATGTCATAGTTTTTTATCAGTTTGGTAGCAAAGTTGCAGAGATAAGAGGAAGGTGTTGCTTCACGTTGTGATGTAAGTGCTTCTTGGAGGTAGGGGGGGGGAAAGTCACTATCTATGGCTCTAAAGGGTTTTCTTTTGATGGAAAAGATTAGCTAGGAGGCTTTGCTTTGCTGCAGTGTTGCTGCCAGAGAAAAAAGGGGGTCTGAAAATCAACGTACCCTGGGATACCGTAATCTTTTCTAATGGTATGTGGTAGGAGCCAGGCTCAGAACCTTTATGAAGTGAGAGCACAATTATTATTTTTCTTTGGTTCTCTCTTTCCTGACAGGCCAACACATTTCATGTCTGTTCTTTACTTTTTGAACCCTACAGTAGAAGACAGGTATAAGGCACCATTTAAGGAGTATAAGAGAAGTCCCCCCCCCCAATTTCACATGGGATCACTAATTCTGGAGGTAGCTAGATTTCTGGCAAATCCATTGTTGGTAGCTCTACGCACGTGCTTCATATGTCATGCTAAAGCAATTCATGGCTTAGTGCAGAAGCATCAGCGTGTGGGTTCTCTGGTGAGATATTGCAACTGCTTTTCTCCTCCTCCTCCTCCAGTCCTGCTGTTGCTATGCTGCTGTGAACCAAGCCAAACCATGGCTTGGCTCTCAACAGCAGCAGAGCCAAAGGAGAGGCAAAGTGGCTGCAATCTTCTCTCTGGTGAGGTCCTTTATACTCCAGCGCTTGCACTAAGCCACTGTTTGTATTTGCATGAGGTGCATATCAAGCCGCACTTCACTCCACCCCTGAGGGATTGTTGCTGCAAATTTAATATACTAGGGCATGAATTTATTTGACCCTATCTACATCAAGCTATAGTCTATCTTTATCACCAAACTCCGAATATAATTGCACACTGTATTAATTAACATTATTTTTTAATATATTAGTGGCCATGTGATAATTTTAGCTTATAAATTTTATTGTTTAAAGTCTTAACTTGTATAATAAGGTACTTGTATAGCTCTGTTTAGAGTAGGTAATGTCTTGATAATATAAATGTTTAAAGTTTTTGTATCAATCCAGCATATTTACTTTTAATTGTTGAATGATTCTATGTACACTGTGGCAGCCTTTGGCTATGTGCAACAAATCTGACTGACTGAATATACTAGGGCAGACATGTCCAACGTGTCAATCATGATCGACAGGTAGATGGATGGATTTCCGTCGGTCACACTATGGCCAGGCAGCCTTTGCTCCTCCCTCACAGCCAGGGCTTGGCTGCGGGAAGGAGGGAACTGCGCCTCCACTTCCACACACAGCGCACACCGGCAGGCTGAATGGGGCTTGCGAGGCGGCTGCAGGAGGGAGAAAGTTGTGCCTCCACTTTTGCCATCCTCGGCTGGGCAGCCCTTGCTGGGTGCTGCAGGGCCGTGCTCACGTGGCAGGCAGAGGGTGCAGCGGTCCCCCTCGGGAGCAAAGGGAAGTGGGTTGTGGGGCTGTCGATGCTCTGCATTCAGGATGAGGCTGGATAAAAAGAGGGCACTTTTCCTTCTTCCTCCATACAGAGTGACCTGTGGTTTGATCAGCTGTTACCTCCATTTGGGCAATACATGGAAGAAGGCGATGGAATCGACCGCGGATCCGTGCTAAGGAAAGAAAGGGGTTTTCCCTGGCCTCCAACACCTTACCTCTTGCACCTAATGACAATGGAATAGTGTGGTAGATCACTGCCAGTTTTTAATGCTGGATAATAGATCTCAGCCTACTTGAAGTTAAAGGTAAAGGGACCCCTGACCACTGGGTCCAGTCGTGACCAACTCTGGGGTTGCGGCGCTCATCTTGCTTTATTGGCCGAGGGAGCTGGTGTTTGTCCGCAGACAGCTTCTGGGTAATGTGGCCAGCATGACTAAGCCGCTTCTGGTGAACCAGAGCAGTGCACGGAAACACCGTTTCCCTTCCTGCCGGAGTGGTACCTATTTATCTACTTGCACTTTGACGTGCTTTCAAACTGCTAGGTTGGGAGGAGCAGGGACTGAGCAATGGGAGCTCACCCCGTCGCAGGGATTCGAACTGCCGACCTTCTGATCAGCAAGTCCTAGGCTCTGTGGTTTAACCCACAGCGCCACCTGCATACCTATAGTAGGGGATGCATTCCAATTCCCTGACAAAGCTTCTCTTGTCCCCACTGCCCCTGCCCACATGTGGAAGTTTCTCTCACCAAGCCCCGTACTGCAGAGGATGCCTACACACACACACACACACACACACACACACACACACACACAAACACAGGAGAGCATTATATGCAGAAGGCTTCACACAACAAAAGCTCGGAAGGGGGAGATTGTTGGCCATGCCACATTAAATCAGGATCTGAATCCACTAGTGAACTTTCAGCCACACTCAACCTAGGTTGACAAAAATTGTTACACTGGACAAGAAATTAATAAGACCATGCCTAATTCCTGGCCTAGGGACATTATTTTAAGAGTCCATCTCAAAAGAAGTCCCCAAGCTGGTTATTTGAATCAGATCTTAATATGTATATGCTGCCAAAAATAAATAAAATCCTCCATGGTGCACTCTTCATGGGGCTGCTATTTCTTTAAGGTAGAATTTCTGGCAGAATAAATTCTTATCCTACAGTACATTATTTCTGATGTTTGAAGCCTGCACACCTTAAGATAGTCACAGAAGGCAGCTTCAATAGGAAATGGCGGAACCAGAAGACAAGCATGGAATATATGTGTTTTGCGTTCAGTTTTCTTCTCCAACAGGTTTTTTAAAAACTGAGTTTTGCAGAAGGAAATGTTCAACTTGTCTAGGATTGGAAACTTTCCTTAATGTACCGCTCCTGCACGATGTACAAAAATAAACATATGTTTAAAATGTGCAAGTAAAGCTTTTCCAGGGACGCGGGTGGCACTGTGGGTTAAACCACAGAGTCTAGGACTTGGTGATCAGAATGTCGCGGTTCGAATCCCCATGCCGGGGTAAGTTCCCGTTGCTCGGTCCCTGCTTCTGCCCACCTAGCAGTTCGAAAGCACGTCAAAGTGCAAGTAGATAAATAGGTACCGCTCTGGCAGGAAGGTTAACGCTGTTTCCGTGCGCTGCTCTGGTTCACCAAAAGCGGCTTAGTCATGGTTGCCACATGACCCGGAAGCTGTACGCCGGCTCCCTCGGCCAATAAAGCGAGATGAGCGCCACAACCCCAGAGTCGGCCACGACTGGACCCAGTGGTCAGGGGTCCCTTTACCTTTACCTTTAAAGCATTTCCTGGCATGGAGATGCAGTGATGGGACTCTTCACCTAGTGAATTTGTGTAAGCTGGGCATACTGCTGTTCCCCAGGTGCAGGTACGGTAAAAAGTACTGTGAATGCTGAAGATGGGATCCATCCCACCCCCAAGCCAGCAAAACTCATGTTAAATTTTTCCACGTTCCTTGTGGAATCCCCTCCTCCTCCTTCCAAAGTTCCCACTTGTCCCAGTATCTCCTGGGGCCTTTAAGAAGACCCTAAATTCTTCCAAGCTGATTCTTCCAAGCTTTTAGTTTATTAATTTTTTTTGCAACTGCTTTATTATTTATACCCGGAGGTCTCAGGACGGTTCACAGAATAAAATCAAAATATAAAACAACAAAATACATAATGAAAATAAAAACAACAACCCAGTAACTACCCCCCAAGGGGAAAAAAAACACATTTTAAAAGGGCATTGGATGTCAATCAAATCAACCAAAGGTCGGGTAAAAAGGAACATTTTTTCTGATGTCATCTTTTTGATCGCTTTGTTTTTATGTCCTCTTTATGTTCAATTCTTTTGTTCTTAACACTTTTATTATAAGTTTCCTTGTCAGGCAATGTAGAGGCATGGGGGGAATAATATCTAAGGACTCAGGACCAGTTTACAAATTTGCAAAAAGAAACAAGAGCTCAATTTCTTCATCAGCTGTACCACTTCAGGTTAGTGAAGTGTGGGAAATACCACACCAAAGGCACGCTGCCAATTCAAGACCTGTTGGGAGTTTCCCCAGTTCCACTCCGTATGACTGGCTCCGTATAAGTGTGAGGGAAATCATAGCATGAATGATTAGGTTTGCCATATGTCCTCTTTTTCCAGGACATGTCCTCTTTTTCATGGGTAGAGTCATCCTAAGCAATCCATAGTTAAAAGTCGTTGTTTAGTCGTTTAGTCATGTCCGACTCTTCGTGACCCCATGGACCAGAGCACGCCAGGCACTTCTGTCCTCCACTGCCTCCCACAGCTTGGACAAACTCATGCTGGTAGCTTCGAGAACACTGTCCAACCATCTCGTCCTCTGTCGTCCACTTCTCCTTGTGCCCTCAATCTTTCCCAGCATCAGGGTCTTTTCCAGGGAGTCTTCTCTTCTCATGAGGTGGCCAATATATTGGAGCCTCAACTTCAGGATCTGTCCTTCCAGTGAGCACTCAGGGCTGATTTCCTTAAGAATGGAGAGGTTTGATCTTCTTGCAGTCCATGGGACTCTCAAGAGTCTCCTCCAGCACCATAATTCAAAAGCATCAATTCTTCGGCGATCAGCCTTCTTTATGGTCCAGCTCTCACTTCCTAGTTAAAAGTATAAGTCGGCAAATATGTCCCCTTTTTTTGCTCTTCAAAATATGGCAGCCCTACATGATACCATCCCACCATGCTTCTGGTGCCTCACATTATCCTTCCATTGCTGGGGACTATGAGTGATGTCCTGCTTGCAGGCTTCCCACAAGCATCTGGTTGGCCATTGAGGAAACAGAATAGATGGGCCTTTGGTCTCACCCCCCAGGGCTCCTTCTTACCTTCATAACTTCACATTGACAATCCTTGGATAAGAGAGAAGGCGTACTGTCTTCCATGACAGACTCTTTCTTGCCAGAATGTTTACTTCCAGCAGTTGGTCTACTGCAGTCACCTCCTTTCTCGGCTCTCTTTAATATTCTTAACAGCTAAAATTCACAGATGGTTGCACGATCCACAAAATTCACATAGCAACCACATTGCAGCCTTTCCTGTGAGCTTGTAGGACAGAACAGCTTGATAACAGAAGACGGGAACAGTTTGGGTGGGGAGAGAGAGGATCATTTTCTTACATAATAGAAATAGAGCATCTCCCAAACCCCAGCTTTTATATAAAGTGTCAGGAAGTACGAATGTACTGTTGTGCAAATAAAAGGATAATATTATTTCCAGCCACTACAAGAGTAACTGTAAATACAAAATGGACACATTCTTCCAGCAATATATGCATTCTTTAAAAAAAGGGTAAGGAGTTGGGGTTGTGTGCAAGAAACATCCCAACTGCTTATGCTACATTTTGTTTTAAATATAGCTGGCCGGCAGAAAAGAGCAAAGGAATCTGCCTTATACAGGTTAAGACCATCTCGCTCTGCATTGTTTACACTGGCATGCAGAAACTCCCCAGAATTTCAAACAAGAGCCTTTTGCAGCCTTATGTGGAAATGCCAAGGACAGAACCTGTGGCCTTCTGTATGCAATGCAACTGCTTTACCACTGAACTGTGGCCCTTGCCGTAGACATGTCTGGTAGAAGTGGATTTGGCTAGAAAAACTGAGTTAGATTCATCTGTGTACGTCTCTGATCAACCCTGCCATATAAATACTTGCCTGTTTTATCTTATCCAGGAATATGGGTCTTTGCGAGGCTTTTGCAAAAAGCTTTGGTTGTGAGTAGCCAACATGGAGTCCTCCAGATGTTGTTGATGCCAGCTGCCAGAGACACAGCATTGCCAATTATCTCTATGTTGCACCAGAGTTCAACATCACCTGAACTGTGTAAAAGAAGATGTTCAGTGCCACAACCAAGAAGACTCGCTTCCACAAAGACACAAGGTGACATTCCACTGACCATGGCATAGCTGGCAAGGCCTCCCCTGAGGTGACTGTCCACCAAGTACAAAAATACAGGTCAAGCATAGGTGGAGGTGCAGGTTAAACACTCTGACAAAACCCCAAAGTGCATTGATTCCACCTCAGGTCTTCTTGGTGGAACAGGCTGGACCTTCAAGATGCTTTGGCAAAGCCCATGGTTCTCTGACTGAATCAAAATGTAGCCTTGTCCTTGCCCTTTGCACACCACTGGACACCTAGCTGAAGTGGAGGGGGAAGGATGATAATGATAAATCATCTCTGCCCATTACCTATACTTTTTTGGGCCATCTTTGTTCCCATGGCAACGTATCACTGGGGTATTTGCCTCACAAAGCCATAAGCCAGGCTAGATTTGGTCAACTGGTTCAAGCACTTTAGAACACAGCCTAAACACCTTACTCAAAACACTGTTCTCCTGTGCTGAATGTAAACTGCTCTGGGAGCATGGCTGGGCTGAAAGTGTGGGATACAAAACAGGAAATAAGCATTTACCAAAATCCATACCCAGTTTTTCTGTCAAATACTCAGCGTGGCTCCGCAGATGGCTACTTTAACCCACACCGAAGCTGCAGAAAACTGGAAGTGATAACATGAAAGCCTTGCCCTAGTTTGCCTTTCCTTGGGGGGCGGAATGAGGAGAGGGAGTGAGGAGGGGGAAAGGGAAAGAAAAGAAGAGGCAGTTTCTCCAGCCAAGCATGGACTTCCCTGTTGGAGCAGGGGCAGGCATTTGAAGAGCATCCCTAACTTGGCACAGAGAGAGAGAGAGAGAGAGAGAGAGAGAGAGAGAGAGAGAGAGAGAGAAAGGGAGGGAGGGAGGGAGAGAGAGCATAGCAGAGTGGAACTACAGGACAAACTGTGTCCTGTATTGAATCAATAGGGGATGTAGTATTTTACATTGAACTACAGGACAATCCTATATTATACGGGACGGGTGGCAACACTACTCATACAGTGTGAGAAGCTGTTCCAGAGCTGTTTAACCTGAGACCTATTTAGTTCCACCCAAGCCCCTGGCTGTGTACAGGGGCCCTGCAGGCTGCTTGACACACACACAAAACCCTAAAGGAGTTACACCTTTGGAAGTGGAAAGTAAGATTGCCATGATTGCTGCCTCCACCAGAAAATGAATGGTCCCGCTGTGCTGAGTGCGAAGACCTCCCTTGAATATTTAATAATGGGAATATGATTCACTAAGAGGCAGGGTGGGTGACAGTAATTAAGGGGATTCTATCAGGAATGCCTGCCTTGCAAGCAGAAGTGTACAATCCCCACACTGACCCCATGCTGACATTTTGTTATTCATCCCCAGGTGTGGGTCTTTGTAATAGATGACTGGAAGTCGAAAGCTCTCCCTTGCCGAAGCCTAGTGGCCTTGGTGAGCTTTGCTTTTTAAATATTGTTTTTGAGTCAAGAAGACTGTGCCATTGTTTGCTGGATTGAGGAAATGCTTTCTAATAACAGCAGCATTTGGTTGGGCTTTATTTTTAGTAAAACAAAATGAAATAAATACTAATTTCTGTAACAACCTAGCAAAACAGGGTATTTTATGAGCCCTCATTAGGACACTATGCAATCCGTCAAAACTAGGTTGCTCATTTAATGACTGCTGCTGGTCGCACTCGGAATAAAAAGACAGTGAGGCACAGTGGTTTGCCAAGCCTTAAGGATTATTGCTACATTACCCATATCATTTCTGAAATGGTTTTTAGTTGGTTAAAAACAAACCCTAAAACCAAACAGAGAAAAGAGAGATTATGCCAGTGACAGCAGACTGGGCATAGGTGTGGTGCTCCTACAGGCTGTCCAATTTTTAGATCACTCATTGCAAGTTGGCGTTCTGTGCCAGTCTTCCTTTGTAAGAGCTGGATACACACAACCTAGTTCCACATGGTGGTTCATGCAAATATTTGCCATAAAGGAAAACAGTATAGCGCTATATAAAGAGCAGGCAAAAAATATCTAAGGCAGCCTTTGCCAAGCTGGTGCTCACTAGATGTTTTGGACTTTATAGGGAACAACCCCAGTCTCTTGGGTCCTAATCCAACACTCTAACTAACCAACTGAGTATGTTTCTGGATCCAGGTAGCCTCAGTGGTTAGAAGTGTCTTTTACCAACTGCAGCTGGTACAGCAGCTACGGACATTCCTGGACCAGGGAAACTTGTCCATCGGTCAGTTCATGCACTGGTTGTTTTAGGACTGGATTACTGCAATGTGCTCTATGTGGGAATTTCCTAGTGCTTGATCCAGAAGCTGCAGTTAGTGCAGAGTGCTGCAGCACAATTGCTGATAAGAGCGAGATCTTGTCTGTATATAACACCTGTGCTCAGAGACCGGCACCAATTGCCGATTTGCTGCTGGGCCCGCTTCAAGTTGTTACTTTTAGTGTATAAAGCCCTGAACAGCTTGGGAGCAGTTTACCTGCGAGATCAGTTTACCCCATACCAATCCACTTCACTGCTTTGATTGGTGAAACTGGCACTCTTACGTTTACCACATTTGTAGGAAATCAGTCTTTTTAGTGAGGCAGCACCTACACTTGGCATCAGGCAGGTACCTTCACAGAACTCTTTTCAGTACCTGTAAAAACTTTTATATTTAGGCAAGCCAACTCAGATGTGTGTTAAACCACATCCATTTTTAGTTAATTGCTGCTTTTAATTTTTTTATGTTTAAAACAGTTGTTTTAACCTTTTTACTGATGATTTTATTGTTTTATTCTTTTTGTAAATGGCTTTGAGGTTCCAACAATCATAAATTTTATGAAATTGATGGATCAATCAATCAATCAATCAATAATACACCACACTGCCATATAGCTATTATGCCAATAGCCATTCAGTGACATGCTTTTTCTCTCCATTTTGCCATCATGGCTTATAGAACCGCTAGACCAGGCTTCCTCAACCTCGGCCCTCCAGATATTTTGAGACTACAATTCCCATCATCCCTGACCACTGGTCCTGCTAGCTAGGGATCATGGGAGTTGTAGGCCAAAAACATCTGGAGGGCCAAGGTTGAGGAAGCCTGTGCTAGACCAATCCACCATGGTTTCTAGATCAGGCAAGCGCCCTATTGCTGAACTACAACTCCCAGCAACCCCAGCAAGCATGGCCAATGGCCAGAGATGATGGGAGTTGTAGTTCAACAACATCTGGAGGGCCAAAGCTTCCCCACACCTGCTCTGGAGCATTCTTTTACCCAAATAAGTCCTTATCTACAACCCACACAAGCCTTTTGTTTCCTTTCCACCAGAATGAAGAATTTGGAAGCAAGTTCTGTGAAACCAACAGATTTGCCTTCATTTCCTTGCAAAATGTGCATACATATCAAAGTCTACATTTAATAGACCATTCCATCAATACCGGTTTGTTGCCATTTATCATCTTCTTTTCTCTCTCTTAATTTATTTAATCAACTTCCTTTCCCCAATCTATCAGTAGACTCATAATTACATTAGATACTAAAAGTGGCCTGTAGAAGGAAAGACTCATTAACTAACTATTCACTTATACATCTCTGGTCAGGGCAATCAAGCAAGGTGCAGTGATCTCAGTTGGTAGAGCATGAGACTTTTAATCTCAGAATCGTGGGTTTGAGCCCCACATTGGGTTGTACTAACTACATGATCCTTGTGGTCCCTTTCACTTCCACAATTCTAAACGATCCAGTCTTACCCTCCAAGAAAAGTGGACAGGATAAAGCCCAAATGCATTGTGCTGGTCCAGTATTATCCAAGGCTCAAACATTCCTTTTGGCTTAAAGCACTTAGGCAGCCTAGCTAGGTCAGGCTAGACCAGCTGTGCTGTTCCTGGCCATAAGTGACAGTATGGGGTGCAAAGATGGGCTAATGCCACCCCAGAAACCTGTGCTGTTTATTGTTTCCCAATTATGGGGGTTCAGAGCAGATTGGGAGGGTGACATATGGAGAAAATAGGGAGAGGAAGTCTCATTGTGCAGATGTAAGTCTTTGCCCTAATGGGATGACTTCCGTGGGTACAACCTACAGCAATTCAATTCATGTTTCCCGTCCCCTATCTTCAGCTGATTGCCTTAAGCAGTTTGTCTTCAAAGCTGAGATGCTCCGGTCTGGATCCCTTCAATCTCCGAAGCAATTCAAAGTCTCTAAAGGTCTGGATGCAGAAATAATTGAGACGTGAATGTGTCTCACTAACAAGGTAGTTAGTTATTCCAGGCTGAATGCAAAGTAAAATGATGTGATTACATATGGAGGCGGATTCTCTGTTCTTGCAATGCATGCTTAACTCTCATTCACTTCTTCTGCCTTTTTCTTTTTCCCTTCAGAAATAGGGATGGAGGAGAAAATCGATTCACTTCACATTTAAATCTGAATCAATAAAATTCACACTTTCTGAGACGGTATGAGAACTGAAATGTAGCCATCCTTCCAAATCTCACTTATCTGAAATTCGCAACGCAGTTCTCCAAGCAACCAATGTTTGCAAAAATGCATTATATAAGGTCAAGGTGTGCCTAGAAATGAATATATTAGTGTCAATAACATACGGAAATGCCTTATATTTGGAGAGTGCTTGTGTCAAAACAGCATTAAAAATGTAGTCAGAGAAATTCACACTAAAATGTTGAGGAATTTTTGTGAGGATATATATATCTATATATCTATATATATATCTCCAAATCGATGCAGTAATGTTGAGAACCAAATTTAAAATGAAAACTAATAGAATAGAAACTGGCAGACCCTTCCATCCTAACCCAGAAATGACCACCTCTCTCTGAACTGATATTGTGTGTCCAGGGCTCCATATTATCCACATTTACTTCACTATCCTGCAGTGTGTGGATTGACTGACCTCTTGACATACAACTCAGTATCTGTGACTGCCATATATTTCCCTCAGGACTCCTGTACTTTTTGCAGCAGCATCACAGGCAGAAACCCAACAGGCAATGCTTTCTGTCCCTGCATTTCAACGCCAGCAAATGCTGCTGAAAGAAAAGTGTTCAATTGCGCAAGACCCACTTCTACAAATCAGATCGAGATGGATTCTCATTATTGTTCTCATTATTGCAGCAAAGCATTTTTAGCAGCGCCAAGAGAACGTGGCTAATAAAAAATAAATTAAAATGATGATTAAGTCTTCAATCTTATACATATTTACTTGGATGTAAATTTTATTGAAATCAGTGTTCCTTACTTCTGAATAAATATGTTTTAGGATTGGAGCATTAGTGTGAAATGGAGTTGGTTTAATGTGTGAGGTGAAGTCTGTCCCCTTGGAATCTGTTTGCCCCCTTTTTTCCTCATAAATATTTTGGGTTGCTACCAGTGTTCATGGCTTCACCAGGCTCACAAATTAGTGGTGTGTAGCTGTTGCCTCCTTCTCCCCTTGCCTTTTTAAAGTGACTTTGCCATCACATAAAAATGCCAACTCAACTCAACATTGGTGACAGAAGTGGTGGTAATTGAAGGCTTCTCGGGACTTTCTTACCCCTCAATGCCATAGCTCACTTACTGCTCATGTTGTTATAGTAAAAGACATAGATACAGTAAAAGATGTAGAACTCAGCCTTGGCCCAAGTGATATGCCAGTGTTCAAAAGTATGTTTTATTAACACAAAGGCAGGACAAACACTCTAGCTCTGCAGCGCGCGCGCACACACACACTGCTGTTCCGTTCACCTCCCTACTTCTGCAATGCAATGTTCTGAAGCATAGGATCTTTTGTACTTTTCAGAGGCATTTAGGTTTGCAATCAACAGCTGGTTTTCCAGGCAGCTGATGCCCATCCATGTTGCTTACTCCAAGGAAAATAGCTTTCACTAAGCACTCATGTATTACTACTGTATTTGCACTTGTGTAAACAACATAAGTAATAACTTGTTCTCTTCCTCAGCTATCACCTATCATTGAAGATGCCCTCGAGCCTTATTAGCTAACAAAAGTAGAGAACAAAAAAGAATTAGTTCCAGCATTAATGAGCAAATACCATATGGGGAATTATTAATTGAGGAGCTCAATTCAGCATCATAAAGTACCTGTATAGAAACGAGCGGCGCTCTCTCTCACTCCATAAAAGCTAACTTTCTCCCCAAAAGATTACCACATGCATTACCTTATCTCTGCCTAATGAAGGCAGTTTCACTGCTGCATTAGTGGGATATTATATAGAGGGAAGCCTCCTCTCTAGCAAATATCCAAGCATGATGTAATGTGCCAAGATTAACATTATCTACAGCTCGCGAGAGGTGTGCCTAGAAATTCACATGACAGCTGCTGCACTTTGGAGCATTTATGCTAGTTTGCCTAATCAGGGGAAGGCTTCAGTTTTATCTTTCATAGTTACTGGCACACAAACAGCCCAGAAGCCAAAGGAAAACTTGGTTAGACTTGTAGTTGGTGGGGGCAGATTCTTTGCTTTTTGTAAGTCCCTGCTCTCCTTATAAGAGAAACTGGAAGCTTCTAGTGGCTCAGTTGGTTAGAGCATGGTGCTGATAGCAGCAAGGTGGTGGGTTCATCCCCATATGGGCCAGCTACATATTCTTTCATTGTGGGAGGGTTGGACTAGCTGACATAGGGAACCTGCAGCCCTCTAGCTGTTGCTGGATTACAACTCCTGTAATTCCTGATGCCAGATCGGGACTGGGAAAGGTGTCTGTGTGAGACCCGAAAACCAGAGATTTTCTTTTCCAGGTGGAACTCACCAGAACTCAGTTCTGGCACCTCTCAGGTGTGTTCCAGCACATCTCAGGTGGTCATTATTGCCATTCTAAGAGTACTTTGGAGGCACCTGGGAAGCAAAAGTGTAGACTGCTGGTGAAATAATTTGTTGAATGAAAACACACACACACACACACACACACACACACACACACAAAAACACCCCTTGGCCACCTTGAGAGTAAGGTAAGTCAATCAAAACATCACACTTTCAGCCATGGAAAGTTTTTGAAGGCAGTTTCCTCTTTCATTAATAGATGGAGAATGGTCAAGAAAAAACACAGGAGAAATTTTTGGCACACCACTTGTGTGTTGTGTAGTATTGAGTAAGCCTCAGATAGAGGTATGTTGTTGTTGTTGTTTTAAAAAAATCTCCTTCCTAAGGTACTTGAATTTGCTGACTTTTTTCATATGTGTAAGGCAAGAGTGGGGATCTTGTGATCCTCCAGAACTTGTTGGACTACAGCTACCATCCTGCCTCACCATTGGCCACGCTGGTTGGGTCTGATGGGTTCAAGTACATCTGGAGGATCATATATTCCCCAACCCTGATGTAAGCGGACAGACAGCTTAATGTTCGGCAGTGATGTTGTTATAACCTATAATGTTGTCATTTGTTTGATTAGTGACGTATGCTTCAAATTAACAGAGTACCTTTGTGTGTTCAACGACATCTATTATGTATTTAAGAGGTGGGTTGTTTTGTTTGTTTGCTTGTTTGTATGATGCAATGAAAGTCAAATTGCAGAACAAGCTTCCCTGGTGAGATTCCAAGAAGAGGCAGATGCAAAACAAAAAACAAAACCCAAAATGCTAAAAATAAGTGTGCTCTTTTGTATTCTTTTCTCTATCTAGAAATTGCAAAGCTGCTTTGAGCTAAAATAGCAAATACTTTATTTGCTGGTTTCTAAAATGAGCCAACCAAGCCAGGAATTTTGTAGTTGTCGGCAAGCAGGTGTTGGATTTGGCTCTGGGGAAAGTGAACTCAGCTCCCTACCCTGGAATCACAGCACAATGGGGCAAGTTATTGTCTCTAGCCTTCACACACATTCTAAAATTTTAATTATCTCCTTTCTCCAGCCTTTTTTTTTTTTTTTACAGTCAGTGTCACTCTGTTTCTTTGAGAGAGGTAAACACCAAAAACAGGCGTGCTTTGAGTAAACTCAGGACAAATGAGGCAGCAATCCCACAGTAGGACCTGTTAACAAGACAAACTAGAATCATAACTAGAATTTTTGTTTGTTTGTTTTTTGAAGAACTGGTGCCACACTTGAGAGCTCTCAGGCTCTGCCTTTGAATCTCAGGATATGGGGGCTGAGGGTAGTAAAATTGTCAGATAGTAGAGTGGGTAAGCCAGGTTCTGACTACAGAAGGAATGCCACAAACTTAACAGGCAAACAATGATACCAGAGAGAACTTCTGGCTCAGACTGCTTCTTGATGTATTAGTTTTCTGCTTGCTTTCTTCCTCTTGCAAATCTCCCTGCCTGCACTCTGCAGTGGTGCAGGCTTTAAACCTTTGCCTTAAGTTTAGTCAGATCATTGGCCCATAGCTACTGGATGGCAGCAACTTTTGGGAGTTTCAAGCAGTGGACTTCCAAAGTCCTACCAGGCATGCAAAACAGTGAGTTTTCATCAACCTGTGAGCATCTGGTGTTAGCCTCAGCTGGAAGGGGGAGAGTACTTGACTAGACTGGTTTTTACTCTTATCTAGGGTTGTGCAATTACCCTGCCCCGCTCTACCTATGTGATATCATCCTTACTGAGGCTCCTGAAGATTTTCATCAACATAGGATAGGGCTTTTCAAATATGACTTAAGTTTTGCTTTGGGGTAAATTAACTGGCAGTTGAGAGATGTGCAAAATCCAGCTTTGCAAATGATGTATGTATGTACTCGTTTATTTTCTGGGTTATATCTAGATCTTCTTAGCTTAACATTCTGTTCCCAGTAGCAATTAAAGCAGGCATAGGCAAACTTGGCCCTCCAGATGTTTTGGGACTACAACTCCCATCATCCCAGCTAACAGGACCAGTGGTCAGGGATGGTGTGAGTTGTAGTCCCAAAACATCTGGAAGGCCAACTTTGCCTATGCCTGAATTAAAACATGAGGCTTCCATCAAATACAAGGTGGAAGGAAGACTCCAGGTGCAAGGAAATAAGTTTGCTGATAAGAGTCAGAGGCTTCCTTCACTCTTTCCATCACCCCTCCAGCAGCTCAAGAATATAGCCACCCCTCCCAATTTTGTGCCATCTGCATATGGGATGAGCATCCCCTCAGTTCTTTCATCCAAGTCATTAATAATGATGTGCACAACTGGCAGTGCACTTAAAAGCTCCCAGTTGTGCATTGGAAGTCATGTCTCTAGCTGTCCCACACCTGATATATGGCAACAGGTGTGGGGCAGGTGGCCATGATTTGGGGGAAATGACCTCATAGGCCACATCTGAACTCCTGGAGGGCCAACTCTGGCCTGCATGTGGGAGGTCCCCTATCCCGTTGTAGTTGGTGTACCAGCCAAACTTAGTTAAAGGAGCTCTGGGTCAACCAGGCAGCCTGAGATTCTAGTGGCAGAAGTGGGTGAACTGTCACTCCATATTCCAAGGCTACTAGACATGTCCAGTCCTCGTTGGGCTGCTTCTGAGAGCATTGCTCCTGCTTTGGGGGGGGTGCACTTCTGAAGTCCATGGGACTTCACTGAGCACACTGATACCTTCACCCCGCCCCCACCAATTGTTTCATTCTGCTTCTGCTTTGGCTACAGTCCTGTTGGGACTCACCACTTAAGTTTACTATTAGTAGTAGTTGTAAAGCTGAAAGAGAGACGAGCCTCTTTCTAATCTTCCCCAATAAGCTAGCTTCCTTTGAATTCCTTTAGATGTTTCAGCTGATCAAATCCACCTTGGAATTTGTCTAACAGGTGAAAAATCAGTGGTAGCTCTAATTAAAACCATGAGTGACTTCATCCTGACAAACCGTTTCACAGGCAGTTGAAACGAGCACTGATACGACTGAAAACTCCATGGCAACTTCAAGTGAATTTATTTTTGTTTGGCTGGGGGGGGGTGTATTTGGCACAAGCGTAGTTTTGCACACGGACTATCAGCGGATAGTTCAAAGTATTGTTTGATGCAAGGTCATTTTTTAAAAAAAAGTAAATGGAGAATTTAGCGATTTAACTTCCCTGATACAGGACAGCAGTGTTAGGTATCTTCACAGCTAATTATACCTACCATTTCTACATGCCCCTGGAGGGAATTAATTACAGTGATATTCAGAAGTGAAGTTTACCTGCTTTGAATATGAAAAGATCTCAATTCAGTTCACACAAGTTCTGCGTAGTAGGTACACGCACTGCACTGAATATTCTACTAACAACTCTCTAAAGGAATAATTAATTCAGCTTATACTGACCTGGAGCATTATCTTTCCTGTATTCTTCCCCAAAAACACAGAATTCTCCATAGAATGCTACACAGAGACTACATTATTAAGGACTGGCATTTAAGCTCCTAAGCTTTCAAGTTAACGTATTAAGAAGGGCTTGCTTCTCAGAGTAAGAAAATCTAGAACTTGCAAAAGGAATACAATAACCTTTCGTGTTAACCTTGATAAGCGTTCTGTCTACCTGCACAAAACGTTCATCCCTGGAATGGAAAAATAAATCTTAAGATATTCACTGTGTTCTAGGGAAGCAGGGGTTTTTTATGATTCAAGACTGAACATGCTGGGACACACGCCACACAATTTGGTAACTGGAATAAATGATGCAAATTACAAATGTTTCCATTAATGCATTTAATCTCCATTTTCATTATTTCGAACCTGTAATAGCAAAACTGCCTTACAATGAGTCAGACCTTTCATCCATCCAAACCAATATCGTGCAATATGGCAAAGGATCTCGAGGGACACAGGTCACTTTCAGACTGTCAGTATTTTGCAAGTGGAATTGTGCAATTAAACTGGACTAAAAAGCACTTGGGTGCTCTGACATTCAAATTTGTTTTTTAAATGGATTTTCTTTAGTGATTAGAGGAGTGATGGGGAAATGCAGACCTCGGCACAAACAAATCAAGATGAATGCTCAATAAGCAGGTCATCCGGAGGATCCCGCAGGATCTCTGGCATCTCAGTGGCTCTCCTAGCCATTCTGCTACCTGAGAACCTTTTGACTGGAGTCACAAAATACATTCATCCTGGACCTTCTGCATAAAAAACTAAGGGCTGTGACACTGAACTATGGTTCTTCCTGTCCTTAACTAGGTAAGGGAAGTTAAAACTCTCAGGGGCATGTGACACATTTTAGAAAGGGGATCTAGCATTATCAGAGAGCACCCTTACCTGCTAGTTTTATCCAAAAGTGCTTTGGCTTCTCTAAAAAGAAGATCTTCTAACCATGTCTCAAACGTTTGTTGGGGGAGACCTAGGTTTTTGTGGTTTTTTTTGGGGGGGGGAGTTATTTGTCCTGTCTTCATGCTTTTTATGATGGAGGACTGCTGTAGCCACCCCCAACGACACGTTCTCAAGATGGAGGGGGAGGGAACAGCTGCAGTCGCCTGCGGTTCCTGCGCAATGTTTGCCATCTTGCCAAAGGTTGCAGGCAGCTTTACCTGCAGCAATTGCATGTTGATTGCCCTCTTAGAAGACAAGGTCCAGCAACTGGAGGAACGTGTAGCTACGCTCCAAAGAATTAGAGAGCTGGAGCTCTTCTTGGAAGCAACAGAGCACACCGTCTCCACCCAGGAGGAGACAAGGGACTCCCCCAAGAAGGAGGCTAGTTCACCAACACAGGAGCCAGATATATGGAGAA